CCAATCGAAGTGTCATTCGAATGATTCCCATGGATATCCTTCGAAGGGGCCAAATTAATGCTCTTAGGATGGGTCATAATATACGTCCTTCGATTGGGGGTACCCAGACATGCCTGACAAACTCTTCAAATGTACCACCATGGTGCTTTCTTCGCCTGAGGCAATGTCATAGTAAAGAATTTATATGTTTGGAACAGGCTATTTCTACAGGAGATCCTGCCCACTCAAATTTGTCTGTAAAGGGGCCACATGGCCAAACGAAAGAATGCGTGCAAGAGATTCCTGCCTTGTGACTTTATGAAAATATGTTCAAACAAAATCTTGTAAGAGAGGAGCCAGATGCCCAAACGAAAGGCATGACAAAAAACTGTTGGTCAAGTATTCACACCCCCAAGCGAAGGATGCGTGCAAGGGGTGGAAGGCTCAATCGAAGCTTGCAACATTGGGAAAGTCATTTCCCTACCCGAAGGAGGCTTGCAAGGGAAAAATGTGTGATCGAATGGGGAAAAAAGGGGGGTTTTGTGGCCAGCAGTTGGTGTTGAAGGAACCACTTATCCAAGTGAAGCTAACATGAGGCAGCAACCTTGTCCATTCGAAACAAGCATGCAGGCAACATACTTGTCCAATCGAAAGGCTTGCCTTCCAGGGGGAACATATGGCCAGCAAGTCACGGCCTTCGATTTCAAGCATGCAGGCAGCATACTTGTCCAATCGAAGGGCTTGCCTTCTAGGGGGCACATGTGGCAGCAAAAATTGTCCATTCAAAGCAAGCATGCAGGCAGCATACTTGTTCATTCGAAAGGCTTTCATGCAGTATGTGCATTATGAACTATGTCAGGCCAAGGATGCAATCGAAGGTGGCATGCAGGAAGCTCCTGCCTTGTGAACCAAAACCAATGCGCCAGAGACCCATGCCAAATCGAAGGATGCAAGCCAAGCTTGCATCGAAAGAGGCCAAAAGTCCAATCGAAGGAGCTGAATTGAAAGGCTTGTTTTTTTCTCCAATTTTGTCAAAAGATTAAGTTTATCTGTTTTCTTCCTTTTTGACAGTTTCCTTTTAAGCTTGGTACTGAAAAATCCAAATGTACTTGTGCAGGCTTGGATATTTGAGAACCCTTGTGGAAAATGCCTCGAAAAACGAGAGGGTAAATTTTGGTGTACAATAATCCCAAGTAGTGATTAATATAATTGTTGTAAGTGAGAGAAGCGTTGCTGAAGTCAATAGAGTCATCAACGTCCAAGATGAGATCGAAAGTTTCTCCTGTGGGTCGAAGGCCCGTGATTGCAGCAACATCAAAGAGTGTTGGTGTTAACATTCCGCAGGGTAGGTGAAAAGTGTTATAAGTACTATCCCAGAAGTACGGGGAAGTTGTTAACATTAGCTGACAGTATTCAGGACCAAACTTTGACAGATGAATTAAGTCGAAGATTCCCAGGTTTTTCCATGTTTTGGATTTCTCTTTCTCTACCCTAACTAACCATCCAAGGTACTTCATATCCTCTTTCGATGGACCTGATCTAAAAGGTCTCGGAACTTTTGTGACGAAGTCTATCTTAAAGGATGATTCATTTTGTTCTTCACCCTTTTGAGGAGTATTTTCCTGGGAAGTTATCGCGTCTTCTACCCTAGTGTTTTCAACAGATTTCTTACTAATCCTAGGTTTACTAGCTATGGGTCTAGTCAAGTGGTAAGCAGGAAAAAATCTCTTGAGTTTTGATATATCTGATACATTGAGTATAGGACCCATATATCCTATGGTATCAGAAGCAAGAGTGAAGGGAATTATTACCTAGGAAGCGTAGATGGAAATTTGTTAATTCCTCAGAGATGGTGTGGGAACAAATTCTTGATTTCCAATCATGACAGGTGTTGCTACTTTGAGTAAAGGATTGAAAGCATCATCATATGTGTTTTGTTTTCTCTTTCCAGACTTTGATTTCTTCTGGGACGCCATTGATTGTGTTTTGAAGAAGAAAAAGTTACAGAAAAATTGTTAAACTTTAGAAGAAGAAGAGAGGACTTTTGATTTGGAAAAGTGCAGAAGAGAAATAAAAATGAATGGTGTTAATTTATTTGAAGGGAAATTGAACCGTTTTTGATGGAAAGAGGGAAGTTAAAATTTCAGTGGGACACATGTAAGGAGATCCTTTGCTTGATGAACGGTTTTTGTGAGTTCCAAAGTTAAGACTATTCATCATAGCTAATGATGAGATTTATAGATACTCATACCGCGATTAGACGTTTGGGAATCAAAGTCATTATGATAATGACGTCATAATAAATTGAAGCGGTTGGGGAATTGTTTAAAAGGTCGAAATTTGAGGAGATTACAAAAAATATGCATTTCTGGTTTCGAAATGAATATTTCTTGGGGGCAATTTGTTGGTCGGAAATTTAGACTAAGTCAAAATTAAGTTGAGTCAATGGTACTGAATATACTTGGAGAATTGTTTAGTTATTTTATTTGTTGGAACCCATGAAGATTCAAATTCGAAATTGATAGTTTATGAAATTCGAATTGTGAAATAAGGTATCATTCAAAATTCCAATTAAGGTACTATTCGAGATAAGATTCAAAATGTTATACTTCAAACGTTATTAGGTTTTGGCACTCAAGACGGATAATCAAAGGGTTTTTGAATTCAAATGTTTATTCTTATCCAGAAAGACGTGTGGAATCTTTAGAATTATCAAAGACGTGCCAGCAGGAAACATGGCATTAGTTCGTTAGGAGACCGTTAGGGTCGAAATTCTATAAATTGTAGCTTTTGTGTTTCAATTTAGTGTATTCACATCTTTGTACAAAATACTCAAATATACTCAAAGTACCAGTGTTAGAGAAATGAGTTAGCGAGAATGTACGTAAGGTGCACCATATTTTACAATTCAATGTCATTTACATCCAATGAAGTCTCTTCATGTTATTTATGTTCTTTATAATTTCCAGTCTAGACTAGTTTCTGTTTTATTACTTTCATAAAGAAGTTCCACTTCGACATACGAAGTGTTTGCCTTCGTTTAAAAGAGATTATCACAAAAAAACACATTTTCTAAATACTAGAACATAATATTCCTGAGATCAATCTGATCGATCTCGCGAGTAACTGAATCTGTTAGATGATTTAGAGGATCAACGTTTGTTTACCAAATTCCAGGGTAAACAGTTGGTCATGTGATTTTTGGGCTTTAAATCTGATTAAAACAAGAGTCCACACGCCTTGATCCATTGCTTTCATATTTGATTTGATTTTATTTGCATTTAAATGGACAAAATCTAAATAAAAGAAATAAAATCATAAAAAACATGTGAATGGATTTAGAGGTCTAAAATGAGGTCATGGCCACGTTTGAACCTAAAAACTTAGGCCTATTAGCCCAAAAATTCAAGTTTGCTCAATTTGAACTTCATGCATTTTCTCAAAATTTCCCAACTTGCACCAATCATAACTCACTCAATCTTTGTCATATGAACATGATCTCTAACTTTTTGAAAACCTTAAGATGTTTCCTACAACTTTTATGTTGGTCATTTTTTCATTTGGAGTTTTTAACTTGATGTGAATTACTTTGACAAAAAATATCTTTTTTGTTGACTTTTAAAACGACCTGTAATGTTTTGCCTCATATCTCTCAAATGAAGAATTTTTGGCATTGAGCTTAGATAGAAAAAATTGTAGAACATTGAATTTCCTTCAAGATAGGCTTTGGTTGAGAAATTTTTGATGAAGTATGTGAAAGTTATGCTTGGTCAAAGTTCAATTGACTTCTCCTAAAGAAAACCCTAATTTAGCAATTTTTGACTTTTGATGAATCTTGAGTTTTCTTGATGAATCATGATCAACCCTTGATCAAATGATGAATTTGAGTTCAAAATCTTGATGTTGACCAAAATTCTTGAAGTTTGACTGTAAATTGGTCAAAGTTGACTTTTTGTCTAATACGGTTGATTTTCAATCATCTGAGCAATTGACTGAGCAGACTTGTGATATAAGGCTTGAAACTTGGTATGAGGGTATCTTGATGCATATGAGAAACCATGAAATCCACTTGAGGCATTAGAAGTCCAATTTCCTTTGAGAAAAACAAAACCTTAGTTGTAGGTTGGTTGCTTAGGATGAGAGTTTGTCTGGTCAACCCTTAAGTAGTTTTGAGTGTTTGACACCTTTATGAATATGAGAAAATCTATTGAAATAATTTATCTTAAAAATGAAAAGATATATTTTAGAATACAACAATAAGCATTATTAAGATTATGCTATCTACTAAAATACATTTTAAAAAAGAAATTTTTTAATGAATTATGTATCTAATATTCAATGTCATTTATAGAAGTGTATAAGATGGATGACAATACTTTAATTTAGCACTCAAAATTGTTTTATTTTTTATTTTTCCACAATTAAATAATTACTAAGCTATAGAAGATTCAAAAGACTTAAGATGGACACGGTAATATCCAATAAGAGACAATACCTCATAAATGTGGCTTAAGGTTGGAACATGTGTTTTGCAAGCACTAAGAAAGTGGTTTCCCAAGTTCTTATCCATAATCTTTAAGTTCTTAACTCACTAGTTCCAACAATGAAAAAAAAAATTAAAAGTGACGGACAATATGGCAACTGAAAAACCGCCAATAAGTTCTAAAAAGCGATTTTCACCGTAATCTTTAACTAGAAAACTCAATAATTCGTGACAAGACTATAGTTTTATTGTTTGTATTAAAAGCATGCGTCAACTATAGGAAACATACCCTATTTTCTCCTATACTTTTGGGCGGCGAAATTATTTCTTGTTGCATTTTCCATTCACCCAATTCTCACATGTAATGTACTTTCATGACTAGAAAACTAAAATCTCAACCAATCAATTTCAATTAAATTCCACCTAAAAGTTCATTTCATTCTGCCAAAATCTCTCTCTTTTATTGATTTGAAGAAAAAAAATGTAGCTATAAAAAGGGTTGAATTGATGTGTCCATTACAACATTCAAAAAGTTTCAATGAAGATGGAAAAAATTTTAAGTTTGGTTTCTTTGCTGATATATTTTGGTCTAGTTTTAGTGATTGGAGTCATTGTTCCAATTGGAGCTGAGGCTAAGGCTAGGGCTTTCTTTGTGTTTGGTGATTCACTTGTTGATAGTGGCAATAACAATTATTTGGTCACTACTGCAAGAGCTGATTCTCCTCCTTATGGTATTGATTATCCGACCGGTAGACCAACCGGTCGATTTTCTAATGGTCTCAATATTCCCGATCTTATTAGTTAAGTATCGTGTCTATTTTTAAATGTTGTTTTAATAATTTATCGCATTTGATAAACATATATAAAAATAAGCCTGCAATTTTTATGTAATTCTTTCATCATTGCTCACTAACCTAGTTGATTTGGTTATCAGGTCAAAAACTAGGTGCTGAATCTGTGTTGCCATACTTGAGTCCGCGACTAAGAGGCGAGAAGCTTTTAGTCGGAGCAAACTTTGCTTCGGCTGGAATTGGCATTCTTAACGATACCGGAGCTCAATTTGTAAGTTTGCAAAGTAGCAATGTATATAATCAAATCGAATGTAATGACTAATGACATAAGCTTTTAATTTGCAGTTAAACATAATCAGAATGTATAAACAATTAGATTACTTCGAAGAGTACCAACACCGAGCCGCCTTTCTAATTGGACCAGCCCGGACTAGGACATTGGTTAAAAAATCATTGGTCCTCATCACCGTCGGTGGTAACGATTTTGTAAACAATTACTATTTGGTGCCTTATTCCGCAAGGTCTCGCCAATATTCGCTACAAGATTATGTCAAATTCCTCATTATAGAGTATCGCAAACTCTTAGAAGTAAATTATCTAACACTTTAATTAATCTAATTAATGTACCAGCTATCAGTCACCAGTTATAAACTATATATTTCTTTTGCAGAGACTATATGATCTAGGAGCACGCAGAGTTCTTGTGACGGGCACGGGACCATTAGGATGCGTTCCAGCGGAAATGGCGATGCACGGAACAGATGGAGGATGTTCTGCTGAACTTCAAAGAGCTGCAACATTGTACAATCCTCAATTAAACCACATGGTACAAGGACTCAACAGGAAAATTGGCAAAGATGTTTTTATTGCTGCAAATACCGCACTAATGCATAGCGATTTCGTGAATGACCCCAAAGCATTTGGTAACAACTTCAATTTCTGGAAATTTTTGTATCAGAAAATATGATATCTGGTCTAACATGTGTATATTGTTGGACAGGATTTACTACATCAAGAGTTGCTTGTTGTGGACAAGGACCTTACAATGGGATTGGTTTGTGCACACCAATCTCAAATTTATGTCCAGATAGAGAGTTGTATGCATTTTGGGATCCATTTCATCCATCCGAAAAGGCCAACAAAATTATCGTGGAGCGAATTATGTCGGGTACTAAAATGTACATGAATCCGGTTAACCTTAGCACCATCATGGCAATGGATGCTACCACATGACACCTCTTGCAATGTTTTCTTGTGATATTGAATTCCAATTTGGTTTTAATTTGTAGTAAGTGGGTAATTACATTGATGAGAATGATTAAAGGATCGTGACTTTTTAATATTTAGTCTCTATTAAAATTTTATTTAAGTTTTAGTCCTTGTATATTTGCTATTTGCAAGAATGGTTCTCATTCTTTCTCCAAACATGAAATATTTCATTTGAATATAACAATAACAATACTAGAAAGTAGATAAAAAAAACCAAACTATTGTGATTCGTAATAAACAGAATCATACGTTGATAGGACTATAAAATTCAATTACTGTGAATAAAATTCAAAATTCCATGTATAACTAGATTTGTTCTCTAAAATATTTTAAATCTCTGCGTCTCGAATTCAATGAAAATGAATTAGAGTAGTAAAATGAAAAAGAATAGATCAATCTTGAAATGAAAGTCTTTTCACACTACTACTGCTGTAGTGTACTCTACTAATTGGATCTTGAATTAGACTGGATTAGAATAGATAGCACGAAGAATATAATTCTATTTTTTATTGACAAAGGGATTGAAGAACAACTGTCTATACAAACTTATGTAAAATCTATAAAAACTTATGTAAAATATATGAACGCTTCTGTATTTTTTTTCTCCATATTTATTAGATTAATGAAATTGAATATCTAATTCGATTTTTTTTTATTTAAATTTAAATAGTTCTCATTTAATATTCATGTTTTTTATACTATAAAATTCATTTTCATTTAATCTAATTAAAAAAAAAACTATTTGATTTCCATTTTAAGAAAAATAAACTCTTTCTTTTGGATAATCTATAGTAAAAGAATTTGCTAGGCTGTTTTCCAATTATTTTAGAAAACGAATCGAAATACAATAAGGATTAAATCAAATAAAATGGGGGCAAAGGAATCTATCTTGATTCTTTATTTATTTTTTACTTAATGAAATGGGGGAAAAAATAAAAAAGAGGTCTTTGTATTCCTACCTATTAGTAAGATTCATTACTACTTCTAAGAATATTTTTTATTTATGTTTAAAATTTTTCAATTCTACTCCAAATCTGAGAAGAATTTGCTAGATCTAATTGGATGTTTCATCAATAATGTTATGACATAATGAAATCCTTTTTTGACTATATACTAGCGATTATATTATTATTATAAGATATATCAAATTTAAAAAATAAAAAACAAAAAGAACACAAGAAAAATGAGTAACAATAAATAAAAGAATTAATAAAAGAATTTTTTTCATATTGATATAGATAGGAGATATAATTTATATGGATATAGTAAATTTTGCTTGGGCTGCTTTGATTGTAGTTTTTACATTTTCCCTTTCCCTTGTGGTATGGGAAAGATATTTTTTGACAGATAAATAAAAAAATAAATAAAGAAAAATATTCAAATTTCTTACCTTGATACGCAATAAGGGGTATACATCAAAATTTGATTAATCAGAATGAAAGAAAAATAGAACAAAGAAGACAATAAAAGAAAGAAATATAAAATAGAAATAAAAATAGGATCCTCTAGTAGTTTTTTAGACATACAAATTCAAATAATATAGAAAACTAATTTATTTATTTATTTCACGAAGAAGATTCAAAGAATAATCTTATTTGATAAAGTAGAGCAGTATGTCTAGGGATCCGCTGGTAACGGGAATAATAAAAGCGATCAATCATTTGTTTATGGAATAGTTCTTTAAACAATTTATTTATATGATTTATGAGCCATAAGACAACTTTCAAGTCATGACTTAGGGAATTTTTTAAGAATATATAGGAATAACCCAATCCAGTTAATGGATTTGACCTAGATTAGATATCCATCAACAAACAAATAATTTTTCTATTCGAAACCCGATAGAAAAGAAGGGATAGTCTACGAGAAATCATATCATATATAAAATGAAAAAAAGCCTCGAAGGTTCCATCCCTGAAAATGCTAGTAGGTGTTCGGAAATTGTTTGAAGAAGCTGGATAGGAGGATCATTATGACTATAGCTCTTGGTAAATTTACCAAAGATCAAAATTATTTATTTGGTATTATGGATGACTGGTTACGGAGGGACCGTTTTGTTTTTGTGGGTTGATCTGGTTTATTGCTCTTTCCTTACGCCTATTTTTCCGTGGGGGGTTGGTTCACATGTACCACCTTTGTAACTTCATGGTATAATCATAGATTGGAAATTTCTTATTAGAAAGATTGTAACTTCTTAATTGCATCAATATATACTCCTGCTAATAGTTTAGCACACTCTTTATTGTTATTGTGGGGTCCTGAAGCATTGGGAGATTTTACCGTTTGTGTCAATTAGTTGGTTTGTGGACTTTTGTTGCTCTTCACTGTGCTTTTTCATTATTGGGTTTTATGTTACATCAATTTGAACTTGCTCGATCTATTCAATTGAGGGCTTATAATGCAATCGCATTCTCCGGTCTAATTGTTGTTTTTGTTTCGGTATTCTTGATTTATCCACTGGGCCAGTCTGGTTGGTTCTTTGCGCCTAGTTTTTGTGTAACAACTATATTTTGATTCATTCTATTTTTCCAAGGGTTTCATAATTGGACATTAAACCCATGTTATATGATGGGGGTTACTGGTGTATTTGGGTGTTGCCCTAATATGCGGTATTCATGGCACTACGTAGAAAACACCTTATTTAAAGATGCTGATGGCGCAAATACATTAAGTGTGTCTAACCCAACCCAAGCAGAAGCAAGTTATTTAATGGTTTTTGCTAACCGCTTTTGGTCCCAAATATTGGGGTTGCTTTTTCCAATAAACCTTGGTTACATTTCTTTATGTTATATGTACTAGTAACTAGTTTATGAATGAGTGCTTTTGGAATAATAGGTCTGGCCCTGAACCTATGTGCTTATGACTTCGTTTCTAAAGAAACCCGAGTAGCGGAAGATCCTGAGTTTGATACTTTCTACACCAAAAATATTCTCTTAAACGAAGGTATTCATGCGTGGATGGCGAATCAAGATCAGCCTCATAAAAACCCTATATTCCATAAGGAGGTTCTACCACGTGGAAACTCTCTTTAATGAAATTTTAGCTTTAACTGGTCGTGACCAAGAAACTACTGATTTTTCTTGGTGTGTCGGGAATGCCCGACTTATCAATTTATTTGGTAAACTATTGGGGCCATGTAGCCCATGTCAGATTAATAGTATTCTGGTCCGGAGCAATGAACCAATTTGAAGTTGGTCATTTAGTACCCGAGAAGCCCATGTATGAACAAGGTTTAATTTTACTTCCCCATCTAGCTACTATAGGTTAGGGGTTGGTCCGGGAGGGGAAGGTATTGACACCTTTCCATACTTTGTGTCTGGAGTACTTCACTTAATTTCCTCTACAATATTAGGCTTTGGCGGTATTAAGCATGCAGTTCTGGGACCTGAGACTCTTGAAAAATCTTTTCCATTCTTTGGTTATGTATGGAAAGATAGAAATAAAAGTACTATTATTTTAGGTATTCACTTAATTTTGTTAGGTATAGGGGTTTTTCTTCTAGTATTTAAGGCTTTTTATTTTGGAGGTATATATGATACTTGGGCTCCATGAGGGGGAGATGTAAGAAAAATTACCAACTTAATCCATAGTCCAAGCATTACATTTGGTTATTTACTAAAATTGCCTTTTGGAGGAGAAGGTTGGATTGTTAGTGTAGACGATTTGGAAGATATAATTGGGGGACATGTATGGTTGGGTTCCATTTGTATACTTGGTGGAATCTGGCATATATTAACCAAACCATTTGCATGGGCTCGGCGTTCACTACTATGGTCTAGAGAAGCTTACTTATCTTATAGTTTAGGTGCTTTAGCCGTTTTTTGTTTTATAGATTATTACTTTGTCTGATTTAATAATACTTCCTATCCTAGTGAGTTTTATGGCCCCACTGGTGTCATACCCCAAATTTTCCCTACTAATATTGCTAATCATTTTATTCTATTTTTGGTGTTATTATATTATTTATTTTATATTAATTTATATTGCATTAGTTGGCTATTTCAAAATTTAATGAGGTTTAAAATTCTAAGAGGGGGGTGTGTTTATCTTTTGGTTAAAAGGGATTTTTATATAAGTCTAATGGCCCATTAGGTCTTAAAGCCCATGAGGATTTTGTTGGGGTTGACCAGAGTCAACCTTATGACTTTATTATGCAGTTACTTTTATTATTCAATTATTATTATTATTGTTATAATTATTATTATTTTTACAAATATTAGTATTGTCTATGAGAGTTGACCGAGGTCAACATTGGTGAGATTTCTGGTCTTTATTGTTATTATACTATTACTAGTATTAGTATTATTATATTATTACTATTAGTATTACTATTATTATTAAACATTGATCATATTCAGGTATATTCTCTTATTTTATTATTATTTCTTTTTATTATTATTTGAGACAAATTGTTGTCTGGTGTCAACATGAGAGTAGAAACCCTAATTTGCTGCACCGACCTCCTTCTTCTTCTTTGTTAAGGTCATGAAGCCCAAGCCTAGAACTGATATACAAAATTGAATTAAAAGCGAAACAAATATTACACAGAATCAAATCTTATTGATTGAATTTATACAAAAAATCGGTCCAAATACACAATAATCAGATATAACTAATTTATAATCTCAATCAAATCTCAGTAATTTACAAATCAAACCTAATATCTAATCAATCTACACTCAATCTGGAAAATATAACTGCAAATCAATATATTTTCCTAATCTAACTCTAACCTAAGTCTATAAAAACCCTAATTCTAAAATTGAAAAAGAGAATAAAAGAAGGAGAAGGAGAAGACGATGAATTCTGAGACCCAGCTTCTCGAATCGTTGATCGCAAGTCCCCATCCAACATCGAAGCTCTTCATCTTAAGAGATTAGGGTTTCATAACTGAAACCCTAAACCCTTTCTGAACTTAGCACCTTCGTACCTACACACAGAAACAGGGAAGAAGAAGGTCAGAG